GGCTGGTACACACAGGCCATGCGATCTGGATGAGTGCCATGTCTAAGGAATGCTAAAAACACAAGACAAGATGGCCCCGGAGCTATCTGCATGAACAAGCACCTGCCAGGTTGCTGATGGAACATGAATAAAATATTTTGACAACGTGAAGCAAGAAGCCCTAGAGGTATGGAAAAAAGCAGGCCATCCATGGAATCATCAATTTCACAGGCTGAGTCACTGCTCTTGTTTCTCGGGTGTCAGTAGTTGAAATCCTCTGTGCCACACCATCACCCACGTGCCGGCTGAAGCAGAGCTGACACCCGGGGCGGTTGGGAGCTAGGCAGTAGAGCAGTGTTCCTGAGACGCACAACCAGAAGGCATCAGACCACAGTGGGGCTGGGGGAAAGGCCTTTACTGGCAAGTAGGTACTTGGAGGCAGCAAAGTGCCCCAACAAACCAACTCTCTGCCCTCACCTATCTTCTAAGATATACAACACTGCACCCAGAACCACAGACAGCAGGCCTGTCACCAAGGCTGACACCCCACCCTCTGGACAGCCTCTCTCTCGTCCTGTGGGTAGGATAAGTTGTCCTACATATCATCCTGTGATAAACCTCACCTCTACGCCTATTCAGCAGGGCAACTTGCTTGTGGGGGGGAGGTATCTGTATTGCCACCTGTCCCTTGGCCCCATTTACAAGTCTCTTATCAGTTTTTAGCATATGCCAGGTGACATAATGAATAAGTCATGGGCACTGGTCTCAAGATGGTTTCTAACTGTAGTGGAATAAAGGTGGGGCCATGGGATACAGAGGAGGACAGACAGGAGCTCTGTTTTAAGACCTGGTAAGCTAGAAGGTGGTGGACCAGTAAAGGCAGTCAGAATGACAGCTCTTACGATCATTACCTCCATCACCATCATCCACCAACCACTACCACCAACACCAGCCAGCACCTGAGATATTTAGCTGATGAAGAGAAAAGGTTGGTTCTTCAGTTTTAGAGGCTTCCATCTAAATCCAGCCTCACTGCTTCAGTCCAAGCAGCACAGCATGGTGAGATGATGTGGCAGAGTGAAACCACTACCATATGGCCAGAGACCAAAGGAGAGAAGAAGAAGAAGGCGCAGGGTCCCAGTATCCTCTTTAAGGACACACCGTCAATGACCTCAAGACCTCCCACTAGCCCTTCTTCCTATAGGATCTACCATGTCCTAAATGCACCTTCCTGGGGTGTAGGGCATTACCACATGAACCTCTGGGGTCACTTAAATCCAAGCACAATCGTCATCGTCACCTTCAACATGGCCACCACCACAATCATCACCATCACCACAATCTTCCTCCTCCTCCTCATCACTATCTTCAATATGGCGACCGTCACCCTTACCATAATAATCACAATCCTCACCAAGTCACCATCCACATCATCGTCCCTTTCCCATCACCACCACCTTCAACATGGCCACCACCAATATCATCACCACATCACCGTCCACATCATTGCCAGCCCCACCATTATAACCAGAGGAACAGCCACAGCAGCAGCACCACTGTCATTACTGTGCTGTTATAAAAGTGACACTCTCAGGAAACACTCAGACTCCACATACAATTTTCATCTTAGAAATAACCATACCCATGACCGGCATGCTGCTCCTTGCAGAGCTGATCCAATGTCAAGGTGCGTAGCTCTGAAGCCCCAAGGACAAGCCCTGGGAAATCCTATTCCCAGCTCCCTGCCCCAACTGGTAATCTTTCTTACAGTCAGGACAAACAGTGAAGGATCACTGACTTCAGGATGCTGGGGTCTCTGTGCCAAGCCTTCATCTACAGACAGAATTAAGAGAGCTGTGCATATATCAGCATCTGGGTCCAAATCAGAGATGACCATGAAGGAAGGGCTCATGGAGAAGACATGGTATTCTGGGAACTTGGCAGCCCAGACTTGTGCTGTATGTGTTGATTCTCAAGGAGGAGATGGCCAGGCAATGTTGCACCATTGCTGGGACTGGGTCTCATACACAATGACAGGAACCATGCATTGTGGGGTGCTCATGCACCATCTGGGGCCCATCATGAAGCCGTTCAGCCTCCTTGAGTCTTTCCTACTCAGCACACTGGAACCGGGAACCACATGTAGAGGACCCTAAGTGGGCAGTCCTCGTCGCCATTGACTGAGAGGATGGACATGGACTTGAAAAACATTGAAAGTACAGGTTTTCCAACATCCCAAACCTTCCAGGGATTCAGAGCAAGCTGGCTAGCCACCACCCTTTTCTTAGTTTCCCTCTTAGTATCCAGGGATTTTTGTTTCATGTTGCTCATCAATTGAGAAATGTAAATACATGTGTTGAATTTTAAATTAAAACTCAAGAGGGTTCTAATGTTCTCTCTACCTGCCAGGGAGAGAAGGAATGCTCCCTTCCCTGTCCAGCTGGAATGGGTACATTCTCTTACTAAGCTGCCAAAACAAGATATCCTTAACTGAGACCCAAAAGACAGCTGTGCAGGTTGCTCAGGCTTCCTCTGCCATGCCCAGACTTTGGCATTAAATACAAGCTCAAGACCTGCTCCATTGCCCAGCAGGGGCTGGCCTGAAACAGGAAGTCCATTCTGGATGAAAAGGAAGGGCAGGATTGGCTGCGCCCAGCCTCAGTGTTGAGTTTCTCTTCAGTGTCCACTATTACTCCTTGAGGACAGCAGCTCATTTGTCTCATTTGTAATGGGTGTACTTTGGGAAGGTCATTTCTAAATTTTCAAAAAGTCTCAGAAGACCTGTACCCAGTGTGTTTGTATACCATCTTCTGATAGCACTATAGTTCTAAAGGTATGAAGAAAATGGAGAAAGGGCTCGAGATGCCTGTTGAACATCAATGGATTAATACTACGTTTGTAAGATTGATAACCAAATGTGCACTGAATTTTACTAGTCTACTATTGAAATCTGAACGCCCTTTCATTTCAAAATGATAATTTTTTTTCCCAATACTGAGGTTTAACTCTGGGGCCACAGCTTAAGCCACTCCACCAGTCCTTTATTTGTGACAAGTCCTAGGCTTTATACCTGTTTTGTCACAGCAGGAACGAGGAAATCTCAATGACTGAACTCAGTGGCCTGGAAAACAAATTAACCTAACATGACCACTGAATGACGACCTGAGCTTGGAAGTGCCTTTTCCACATGGTCCCAGATACTCGCAACCTCAGGAGAAATTTTAATCCCAGAGAAAAGACACCTGATTTTATTTTTCCCCAGGTCATTTCTTTTAAGAAGGTTTGTTAAGTGCTAAAAGCAGATAGTTTTGTTCCCACTAAAAACTCAGTTTCCAGAGTGTATTTAATTAAATGAGCTAACACACCTAAGAGTTTGGGCTTGGGCTGAGTCCTCGTCATGGCTCTGTTGCTGTCACGGTGCCTGGTGTTGTTGCATGGCTGTATATGGAGTCTACTCAAGGGAGACCCCCTTCAGCTCAATTAGGCCGCCATGCCTAGACCTCAAAGCAATGTGCTGAACGCATAGAGGGCTTCCCATCCACATTACGTACTAAGATAATATTCCTGGTCTCACTCAATACTGGAGCAAAGAAACTCAAGGAAGAAGGAGGAACTGGTAAGCCCTCCTTCCATTCATGACCTTTCTTGGCCCTCTAAGGGGCAGCTGACCAGGATGCAGATACACCCAGATGCCCTGGTCCTTTCTGGTAACACCCAGGTTCCCTAAACCCAGCTCTGTCTTGCCCTTCATCTTCTGCAGCTGCTCACAGGCCCGGGGCAGCAGCCTCAGTTTGACAAGTCTCTCCCAGGGGCGTCCCTGTGCACAAGGACCAAACCTTGTCCCTGTGGCCTGCATTCTCACTAGATGGTTTTGCTCCACCCTGTGCCCCTCTGCCTGCCAAGCCTCCTCCCAGACCAAAGTGACCACAGCCAGCTGTCTGGGCCACCCTGGCTTTTATGACTCCCCAGCACTGGAAACACTTCATAGTAACCTGATCCTAGTGCAAGCCTCACATTAATAGAGCTAGCAGATCATGGTCCTGCAGACCTGGGCAGAAGTCTGTCCACTACCACAACCCTTGGCTCTTCCCAGGCCTCATAGCTGGGCAAGAAGACCCTGGCCTGGTTCCCAGAGGGAAAGCGCACACATAGTCCCTGCCATCCCGCAGCTGGCTCCAAGGGGGTGCATAGAGGGGGCCCTCACACATGGCTATCACCCCAACCATGCCTGGCCTCGTGCTTGGTTCTGGGCTGCAGTTGTCAATCCCCAGGCTCCTGAGCCTGCTTCCTCTGGAACCTTTCCTGGGTCCCTCTACAGTCCCCACTTTCCACCCCACACACGATCCTCCAGCCAAACTGCTGTGCTAGTCCCCGATTCCCACAAACAGTCTCCCAACACAGCACACTGTCAAAGCAGATATATGTATTTATAATCAGGCCACTTTCTGTATCTTGACTGCTTAATCACCCCATCCCCACAGGCCACCTCAAGGCTGTCTTCGGTCCCCAACGTTTTGACCGCTGATCACCTATCACCCTTCCAAAAGGCCCTGATAGATTCTGGATAAGTACACTCCTGTCCTAGCCTATCAACACACTTCAAGCTCATTCTGCAGATGTGGAAACTAAGGCTCACAGAAGTTCAACACAGGCCTTGAATCAAACAGTTCGTTGGTAGCATAAGGGAATCTGTACCAGGTGATCTGGCTCCAAGGGGGCCCTCAGCTGGCCAACTGCCACCACCAACAGACATTACAAACAAGTGCTTGTGAAATGAAAGTTCAGCCAGCCCCCTTCAGCAGACTAGGCCCAATCCCTGCTCTGTGCTGACTACATGGGCACATTTTGTCCCCATTCTTCACACACTCCAAACCTGCTACAATCAACTCCCACGGTGGCATGGTGCCACACTGATCCCAGGGCACAACTCATGAGAAGAGAAACATCCCACCACTGTGGGAGTGGGCCAGACCCGGTCTCCCAGGTGATTAACATCTTATCAGAAATGGATGCCCACTCACCTTGCCGCCCCGGACTCCTGCCAGGGCCCTCTGTCATGTCAGGAAGCCTGCCATTCGCCCGGAGCCCACCTCCCACGCTGTTCGGACACATGGAGCCGTTGGCTGGGTTGCCCAGGGCATTCATGTGAGTTGGGATGGGTTCAAAGGTAGGATCCAGCTCCAAGATCAGCCTGTTGAGTTGCTCAATAGACTGGTCAATGTCAAGGGTGGGTGAGCCTGGGGAAGGGCCTGCACTTAGCTCCAGATGGGCTCCGTTCACAACTTTGTCGTCTAGTAACCTGGGCTGGAGAGCTTTGCCTAGACCGGGTTGCTGCTGCTGTGTGTCAGGGGGATTTGGCCCATTGCCAGTGCCCCTCTGGACTGCCACTCTGCTACTGGCTCCACGGGTGGGGGTGACTGGGACCCGGGGCTGGGTCTGCACCAGGCCAGAACTGTCTGGTGCACCACGGCTGCCCACTCTGGCCTCCCCATCAGGGGTGAAACTGTACTGGTGAGCGGCCACCATCTGCTGTTGGCGTACCCAAGTCTGGGTGGAGTAGCTGCTCTGCCCATAGGCCTGGGCTGGGGTGGGCACTGAGGGTTTCCTCAGCAGAGTCTGTGGTTGCTTGGGTTCTCGGCCTCCAAATGTCTGCTCCTGCTCATAGAGGGTGTCCATGCCCAGTCCAAGGTCAGGAGCAAGGGCACAGTTTGGATCCTCTCCAATATTACTGCCACAGCCATCAGACAGGAGTGAGTTCTGGCTGCTCTGGTGGCAGGTGAAAGGGCCCAGGTGGGCTGACTGTGGCCCCTCTGAGGAGGAGAGGGTGCCCAGGCTGTCCACGCTATGCAGGTCATGGTGAGGCATGTCGTCGTCAAGAATGTCTGTCTCCCGGTCCTTCAAGGTGGTGTCTCCGTTCACGTGCACCTGGGCAGGCACCACATGGCGTGTCCCACTGTATTTGCTGTGACCATCGGTCATGTCCTTCAGGGAGTTCCCAGACTCTTCCAGGCCAAAGCCACTGAGCAGTTGGTCCAACTCAGCCTTCTCCTGGGGGCTTAGGCCCCTCCGGGTTCCAAGGGTCGGACGTTCTTCTGTCTTGTCTGTCCTGGCTGAAGCAGTGGAGTGGCCCGAGTCACTGCTGACTGACAGGGTGTGGTCTCCGTGGTCTGGGCTGCTGGTGGCTGGTACAGCCTGGGGGCTGCCAGGGATGCCGGGATCTGAGGTGCTTTTCTTCCTCACCTTGGCGTAGAGACTGCCGTCGACCGGGCCCTGAGTGTGCAGCACTGTGGGAGAAAGAGCAGGAGACAAGCTATAAGCCAGGGAAGAAAATGAACGTCACCTTTCACTGTGGGCATATATGCTCGTGTCTAAACAGATGAAGAAATTCACAACGTAACTTACAATAAACAGAGACCAAGTTCTCATCTGAGCTCCCACAGTTCCGTGTAGCTTTTGCAGAGTGAACACCAAGGAACAGCAACGACTCAAATCACATCTACCTTTATTTATTAAATAAATAAATTTATCTGCAGTGCTGCGGATGGAACCCAGGCCTCACGCAAGCTAGGCCAACCCCTACCACTGAGCTATACCCTCACCTTGGTTTCTACCATTCTCAGTTTAAATACACACATACACACACACACAGAGAACTGTCTTACGGAGAAGTCCTGGAATGCTCTGCCCTTTGAATCAATAGTGTCATTGGTATTACAAATGCAGAGCCCAGCTCAGTCCCCAAAAGACAGAGACCTTCCAATCATACGCCTTGTACTTGTTGAGTGGTGGCTTCCATTACATCGAATAACGAACTTGCTGCATCTCAGCATTGAAGCTGCTGACAATCTAAATATGTAACTCACTGAAAGCAAAAAGGGCAGGGTTGGATCTTGGCTAGGGATGCTCCATGTGGCAGAGGATCTTGGGGTCATATAGGTGTGTCATGCCTGGGTCAGGACTACCCAACCCTGGAGCTGTCTTGTGTCACTGACCTCTCCACATGTGGAATGTCAGGAAAACAGCACAGGTGCACGGCCGGAACCCCTGCTACTGTTATTAATTAGGGCCCTGGAGGTGGCACTCAGATTCCAGAGTCCCAATCTGCTGACTGGAGCCCTCCATGGCCTCTGCCACATGGCATGTCACAGCAAGAGACTCCTGCAATTCACTGGAGTCTACAGTCAGCATATCACCTCCCCCACCTTCCCTTTCTTGGCTGTGAAATTGCAGGCATTCCACAGCAGGAAGCTGCTGATGGCTGGAAAGCAGGCTGTTGGGGAACTGAGGATTTGAGAAACATAAGCCAAGGTAACTGAGCCTGATCCTGTGGCCAGCTACTCTGGAGAAACCTGTCCCAAGTGTGTGCCTCACAGCCACTAGGCTCCAGCCTGGATGTGGCCATGGACAGTTGGAATAGGGTCTCAAGAGATATTATGCCAAGGCCTCACATGGCCCAAGACACAGCTCTGAGGGCACATCCAGACCCAGGCTTCCTTTTTATTTCAACTGGCCCTAGAGGAAGTATTCAGAAAAAGGGAGATGAGGATGGAGGACAGCAGGGTACGGTTTGGAATGACTCAATCCTCGTTAATAATTTGACAGTACTGGGGTTTGAACTCAGGTCTTTACACTTGCTAGACAGGTGCTCTACCACTTGAACTACACCACCCCAGCCATTTCTGCCTTAGTTATTTTGCAGGTAGGGTCTTGTGTTTTGGCCCAGAGCCAGCCTCAGACTGGGATCCTCCTACCTACATATGGCTTCACCCATAGCTGGGATCATAGCTATGTATCACCATACCGGGCTTATAAACTGAGATGAGGTCTTCTTAACTATTTGCCCCAGCTGGTTTTGAACTTTAATCTCCATTTCTTGAATACCTGGGATTATAGGTATGAGCCACCATCCCTGGCCTCAGTTCTCACTTTAAAGTAGAGCTTAGGATAGGGAGAACCTGAGGTAGAAATGACACACAAAATGCAGTAAATAAACCAAGTCTTCAAGACAGGGCAACTGGTGACAATAGGGATTGTTTAAGGTGAGGGTATAAGAGGCAGCAGCTGGTAACCCAGAGCCTGTTACAGGACAGGCACACAGCACATTTTCTCTAGTATGATCTCATGAGGAACCTCGATATTGTTATTCTTTATTTGAGCCCCAAAGAACTGAGACTCAGTCAGGCACTACATACCCCCAACCACAACCTCTGGGTCACTTTGCAGGGGCATGGATTGTCCTAAATCGACAGAGCTCCAGAAACCTGTCTCAGGGCTTCACAGATCCATGCCTGTATCTCTAAGGCCCAAGGGGAGGGAAGGAGAGGAGTCCTGGTGCCAAATGTTCTTATTATAGCTACCACTTAGCAGGAAGAAAGACTTGAACCTTGGTTTTGACAAACAGGGTTACCTGTGTCTTCCCTTATTCTTGCAAACACTTGGCCACATCTGTGTGTGTTCCTGGTCATGACATGCAGACAATTTTTTTTTGCGGTACTGGGGCTAGAACTCAGGGCCTTCACCTTGAGCCACTCCACCAACCCTATTTTTGTAAAGGGTTTTTCAAGATAAGGTCTCATGAACTATTTGCCTATGCTGGCTTTGAATCGCGATCCTCCTGATCTCTGCCTCCTGAGTAGCTAGGATTATAGGCATGAGTCGCCAATGCCCAGCAGAAGGGAATCATTAAAAGCTCTTTCCCAATCAGAAGCAGTGGTGGATGCCTGTAATTCCAGCTACTCAGGAGGCTGAGGTAGGAACATATCCATCCCAGGCTGGCCCTGGGCAAAAAGTGTGAAGCCCTACCTAGACAATAAAACAAGGGCTGAGAGGCGTGGCTCAAGTGGTAGAACACATAAGTGCAAGGCCCTGAGTTCAAACCCCAGCACCACCAAAAACAAAATAAAAAACGAACATAGCCAACCAATCAAAAACAAACATATAACCATCAATGAGGGTCTAGAGGCAGAGATGACCTGTGGTCATTGGCCACTTGCAGTCCCTCACTCTCTGGGCATCAAACACCTGCCATGCAGTACAGCCACTGGAACCAGGTGCAGGGCTGGCCCTCGCTCTTCACCCACCTGACTGGTCTTCAAAAGCACTTGAAGTCACTCAACCTCAGGGCTCCAAAATTTTAAAGAAACCAACAGTTCCAAAGGTTAGTCCAATGTGGCTACAGAGCAGGAAGCAGAGGCCAGAGATGGCAGGGTTAGGTGAACATTTCTGCCACAGTGGACTCAGATTTGGGGCAAGAAGATGAAGACAGCCCTGGTTAAACAGCAGGTGCAAAACACACAAATGGTACCATGCCATTTGCACTCCTAACCCCTTATGTCCTCTGGCCACCTGGCTATGAGAGCCAGGCTGGGGACAAGCCCTGCCCTCTCCTACACACATCTATATGAGGGCTGCTAAGCTGGGTCCAGAGCCAGGTAACTGAGGCCACCTCTCTAAACACCTGAGGCCTGTTTTGCTTCCTAAGACCTGGTATGAAAACAGCAGGGTAAGAGCAACACACGAAGCATCGTGGCTTGAAATGAAACTTAACTGTGGCCATGGTGGGGGCGGGGCCAAGGTCACTGCACAGCCAATTGCAATTTTGCTTCTGAAAACCAAACAGAAGGCCAGCCTCTGCTGCTGGAAGCCCTCAGAGACCCTGGTTGAACACAAAGTACAGATACCTGCTTTCCAGATGGCAGGTGGCTCCTGATAAGATAGTTCTTATTTGGAAAAGTGGTGAAGACCAAAGAAATAACGCAGTCAATGAAACACGTATCTGCATTCCTGGGCACAAGCTGTGGCTGGGTTACTGCCACCCTTGTGTCCCCAAGGGACATAGAAAGCCCTACCCCATGCCACCCCCAACACTGGTGAAGGACAGAGATTTTGGAAGGTGAGTCTAGCCACTCACCTTTCCCTTGCATGTTTGTATATTGCCCCTTGGTATCCAACAGGAATTGGTTCCAAAATCACCTTTACCCCACCCCACACACACAGATACCAAAACCTGAAGATAATTTAGTCCTTTCTAAAATATGGTTTAGTATTTGTATAAAACGTGCTATACACCCCTTTCATAGGCTCTTCATTATCTCTGGATTAATTAATGGTACCCTCTTGCAAATCTTCAAAGGATCCATGAATGTTAGAAGAGCAAGGAGTGTACTGGCTACACATTGTTAACACACTTAACACAATGGCAATGATACGGAAATAGTTGTTACTGTATTTTGTAGGGAATAATGACAAGGAAAGTCTGTAATTCATTACGGACAAATATTTACGAATTATTTTCAGCAGGGTGCCAGCAGCTCACACTTGTCATCCTAACTACTTGGAAAGCTGAGATCAGGAGGATTGCAGTTCAAAGTCAGCCCAGGCAAATAGTTCCCAAAACCCCATCTCCAAAATAACCAGAGCAAAATGGACTAAAGGTGTGGTTCAAGTGGTAGAGTGCCTGCTATGGGGCCCAAATGGCATGCTTTAAGTTTTGCTGCCTTCAGAGGAAGGACGGGACAGCCTGAATCACTGTTATTCTGCATATGGAGAACCTGCTCCTAGAGCCAGGAGGGGGACTCACCCAGAAACTTAAGCTCTTCAGCTATAGATGGACCCAAGATAAGAACCTCCACACATCCCCATTCATGGTCAGCCATCCCTCTCTCTATGTCCCATTTCTCTATGCAGCACCATCACCTCCAACTAACAGGAACTAGAGCCTCCCTCTTGCACACTACCTGGCAATGATTTCCCTGAAGCCAGAGCTTAGTTAAAAATCAAACATAAATAAATACAGGCTGAATAGCTTCCAGTGCATGACATACTCGTGGGGGAGGTTTATCATCCAGAAAAGAACAAGAAGGAAGAAAATCCACATAGGACATTCTCGCAACACCTACAGCCACACACCTGTGGAGAGCCCACTCCCTCCCACCCAACCAACCCTACCTTTAAAATGTGGCTTTCCCACCAGGAAGCTCAGAGGCACTCGCAAAATATTTCAAAAGTAATCAAGGAAAATGGGAAAGACCTCCACCCCAGAAAAAACTCCTTTCATCCTAACTAATGACCTGTTTGAGTGATAGCCACCTGTGCTCACAGGTGTACTAAAAATCCACTAACCAAAGGGAGGGCTATACCCAGAGCTCATGTCCATCCAACCCCAGACATTCTTTAAGATTTGCCAGTGACACATGAAACTGCTCATTGGTTCTGCTGCCCACAGAACACTGATATGATCAAAGGACCCACTTAATCATGGTTGCCTCTTTGTGCCAACCTTATG